ATTTAACAAAGTTAATTTTAAAAATAAAAAAGAAAAAGGCTGCTGCCGCTGCTGCTGCTGCTGCTGCTGCTGCTGCTGCTGGTCTTTTGGACTTTCTTTAGGTCATTCGGGCAAACCCAACGAGCGGCATGAGTGTCACTGGTAGGCTTCGGGATTTTTGATTTGATTTGAGTTATTTTTGTTTTAAATTGAATTAAAAATAATAAAAATAAATATAAAAATAAATATTTAAACTCTTAAAAACAAATTTAAACCTTTGAATCGGCAAAAATGAGACGGCTTGCTGCTGCTGCTGCTGCACTTGGCTCTCCAGAGGGAAACTTGGTGGATTACAAACTTTACGAATTCTGCTATAAGTTCTTTTCTGCAAAAGTGGAAGGTTAGTTGAATATTATTTGTGAAAAGAAGCAGAAAAAGAGCATGCAGGGGCCTCGCCAGCTGCAGTTGTGGAAACTTGAATTTGCAATTCAAGTTCTTGAATTGGAATTCAAGACTTCCAATTCAACTTTTTGAAGTTCCATTTGCTGCGCCTTTTTCAAATCTTTTCGCTGCAGAAAGAACTGCGGCTTCGGCCGAAAATGCAGAACAAAATTAAAACGGAATTCTCCTTTCAGAAGATCCCGTTTTCAAATTCAAAAACTCAAAAAGTTGAATTGCCGCGGGGCTCCGGGGTCGATTGCGAGTGGAATTTGATTCTCTAGTCAGTCTAATGAGTTTCTGGATGACAAAAAGACTTTTAATGCATTAAAAAGAGTTATTTGAGGAAGACTTCGGGAAAAAAAGGCAGCTTCAGGTGCCGGGATCCAGCTGGTGCGGCTGCTGCAGCTTGAGGAGCCGCTGCAGCAGCCTTGGGTGTTTTTCTTCATTTTTTTCGCCTTTTCAACAGCTCAATGGTAGAAAATTAAAATAAAATTGAAAAGATGAAATTGTGGAGTCTGAAGTTCTTGAATTAGCGCCGAAGCGGCAAAAGCTGGACACAGCTAGCTCAAGTGATGTGGTGAATGGCACTGGTGCAACGTAGAACAATTAGATATAAATTGACCTTTTAAATCGACAGTTTTGAAACAAAACAAGTGAAATAAAACAAATGTTTTGAAACAAACTGGACACAGCTAGCTCAAGTGATGTGGTGAATGGCACTGGTGCAACGTAGAACAATTAGATATAAATTGACCTTTTAAATCGACAGTTTTGAAACAAAACAAGTGAAATAAAACAAATGTTTTGAAACAAAACAAAGAAAATATAACAAATGCTTTACTAAGTTCGTTCTGGAAAGCCATTCTTCAGGACATTCGAGAAGTTGCAGTTTCCCGTTTGTTGAAGAGAACTGACTTTCTGGAAAGCGGATCGAAATCGCAGTTATGCAGCCTCAGCAACTAATTAAAAAGATAATGGCAAGTTTAAATGTATTTATATTTGTATAAATTCATGTTTGCATTTATACTTTGTTTGTATATGGGTGGATAGTTCAGTGAACAGCAGCCTTCAGCCAGCTGCAAGCCCCGAGGCTGTTTGAGTTGAAATGAAGTTCTTAATGATCGCCGCAAGCTTTTAAATTATTTTAAAAGTAATTTAAAATAGAATTGCTGCTGCTGGGGATATTGCAGGCGTTTTGAATTCCCTCTAAAGTAATAAACACAGATTTGTTCTGCAAGAAACATCTTCAGTCCTTGACACTGTGACTTAGCATTTAGATTTTAAAATGAAGAAATGGTTTTTTAAAATTAAAGAATAAAGCAAAGGATAAGCAACTGAAAATAACGCAGCAGCAGGGGAAAAGGAATTGTCTCAGACCTCATGAACTGAGCAATCAAAAGCCGGAAAATGAAAAAAGAGCTTCCCGCTCGCACTACGCCTGTTATGCCCTCACTCTGGAATTAATAAATTAAAATTAGTGCAAGAATTTCCATTTATGATTCATTTTTAAACTTAGATGGGTGCGGGTAGTCATATATGGATGCCGAGATTGCTCAGTTTACCTTAATCGCTAGCCAAGAGGCGTTGAGAGCTCCGAAAGCAGCAGTAATGCCATCAAAACAAACAAATAATGAGTGCTGTGTCTCTCTAAAGGTCTTATAGTTTTATTTAAATAAATTTAAGGCAAAAAAGGCAAAAAAAAGAAATACAAGGGAGTCTGCAAGCGCTGCTGAGCTGCTGCAACTCAGAAGCTGTTCCATGTTTGAAATCAACGATGCGGGGTGATGCTTTCTCAGCACTTAAACACAAATAAATTGAAATAAATAAACAAAATTAATTATAATTTGAGCTGAAGATTTCGGTTATTCGCGCTGAATTGAGCAACAATATTTTGAAGGGGCCTTGCCGTTGCTTAGCACCAAGCAGCATATCCAGTGTGCAGTTTGGTCTTCAATCGGCATTCGGCATCAAATTAAATACTTTATAAACATTAAGTTTATATAAATATATTATAAATGCAGATACTTCAAACCTTTTGCAGTAGAGAGCCTCTCTAGGACACCTTGAGCTCCTGCTGCCTCCTTCTGGCTAAGCTCAGCCACCTCAGAAGCTACTGGAGCTAGAAGGAAGGCTAGAAAGGAATATTTTATCCCTTTAACGTAAATTAAATGAATTAAATAATTGGAAATCGAGAAAAGAATAGGAAATTAACTGAAATTTCAACGCAGCAAAGGCCCATTCTGCCTTTGAAGAAGAAGAAATGAAGCTGAGGAAGCGTGGAGCCTTCAACAAGCAGAAGCAACTGGAATTATTCCTTTTGATTCATTAAATGTTTATAAATACAAATTGCCGCACATAATGAAGGGCTATTGTCTCACACCCAACTCCAAATGCATCTTTCTGTTTCCTCTTTTGCCTCTTTGCCGGCTATTTAAACTTCCCAACAAAGCAAGAAGAAAAGATTCTTTCAAGTTCCGCATTGCTGCTAGCCGCTGTTCATATTTGCTGTCTTTTCTACTAAGAATAAGTGGGCAGTTTCTCGCTTCCCTTGTAATAGACTTGCAATGTGATCCCTCTTATTGCTGCAAATTTAAATCTGACACTCTGTAAACACTAGATATGACTTTTATTTTATATTACATCAAAATTTTCCAGTTTATTGCGTTAAAAGTGTGCCAGGAAATCGAGCAAGTTGGAGCCAAATTAGCTCGTGGCATTTCAACTCCCTGTGAGATTACCAAGCCAGCGGCCCTGTGCCAACACCCTTCCGCGGCGCCTTCCGCTGAATACCGCGGCATTTTAATTCACATTTATATTTTTAAATTTAAATGTGCAGAATAAATTAAGAAGAACGAGAAGTAGTACAAGATAGCCTTTGTCGTAGGAGGAGCTGGGCTAGTGTGCGCGGGCGTTGGGTTTCGTATTCCGCATATGGAAGGAGTAGATGAGCTGCAGACGCTGCAGCGGATTTATCATTTTCTTCGCTTCTAATTTGTGGTTTAGGGTTTAGGGTTTAGGGTTTGGGTTTTAGTTGGAGAGGTTCGCGAGTGGAAGGCGCATGCAGCCACGGTGAGGGGCCCGGGAGCGCGAACTCGCACCTCTGCGAGCGCCGCGGCCACGAGCCGGCGCTAGAAAACGAAAAAGACTTAACTTTGGAGAGTTTCTTGTCTTTTCTGCTGTTGAAGATTCTTTTCTGGAGACTTGTGCAGCTCCGCAGAGCCACACATCCCGTTCGCTCTCGCCGCAGCGAAGATGCCACGCACTCCCTGGATTGGCGGCAACTGGAAGTCCAATGGCACTGTTGCCTCCATAACGGAGCTTTGCAAGGAGCTCAACCAGGCTGAATTTGTCCCCAGCGAGACGGGTAAGTCGACGCGAATCTTCAGCAGCAGCAGCAGCAGCTGCTGCTGCAGCAGCTGCTGCAGCAGCTGCTGCTGAACTGCTGCCGCCGCTCACTAGACGTCCCACTGCGGCCGTCCGCTGCACACCTTTGAGTTCCGTGGTTTCTTTTGTCAATAAATGCTGGATAAAAGTGGCGAGGTTTCTTTAGTGGAGGCGGGGCTTCCCGACGCCACGAGAAAGCGTCTCAGAGCCGTTCTTGACCGGCCACTTAGCCCGTTTCAGTGCTCGCCTCGCGCCGCGCAGAGTCCTGCAGGCTGACAGGCCCTTTACTGCATTTTTTCTTCATTATTTGCTGGAAATGGTTTAGTTTTGGCGGCGGTTTCGTGCGTGGCTGCCGCCCGTGGGCTGTGCAACTTGAACTTGAACAACTTGAACTTGAACAACTTGAACTTGAATTGCCCCCCCGCCGTGCCTGTGGCAGACTGCGGAAAGCTGCACGCAGGCTCTTTGCTGCACCGGCTGAGCCGTTTATTTCGTAAGAGCGGCGCGAAGCCCGCGGGCGCTTGCGTGGGTGGGTTCTGGTTTGCGGGCGTTGCAGTACTGGCTCTTGTTCAATCTTGCGTGATCAGCCTTTATTTCTTTCATTTTCTCTTTATTTTCTCTTTATTTTCTTTTTATTTTCTTTTATTTTCTTTTTATTTTCTTTTATTTTCTTTTATTTTCGCTTTTTTTGCCGCTTTCGACCCTTTTCGCCGCGTTCGACGCAGAGGTGGTCGTCTTTCCCACGGCCCTGCACATCGCACTTGCCAGGGAGAAACTGAAGAGCGCCTTTCAAATAGGATGTCAGAACATTTCAAAGACCGGCCCCGGCGCCTTCACTGGCGAGATCACGTGAGAGCACACTGCAGCAGCTGCTGCAGCAGCTGCTGCAGCTGCTGCAGCTGCTGCTGCAGCTGCTGCAGCTGCTGCAGCTGCAGCTTTCCATTCGAAGCCCCGCCAGCAGCAGCGCCTGGTCCCGGACTGCTGCCGCCTTTGTTTGCTAAAATGTTATTACTGGTGAAGTGAAGAACTGCGGGCCTGCAGCCATCTGCTGCTGCTGCTGCTGCTGCTGCTGCTGCTGCTGCTGCTGCTGCACTGTGCAGGGCCGGGATGGTGAAGGACTTCGGGCTGAAGTGGGTGATGGTGGGCCACAGCGAGCGGCGGCAGTACTACGGCGAGACGGACTCTGTGGTGGCAGAGAAGGTGGCGATGGCGATGAAGGAAGAAGGCCTTCACGTTGCTGTGGGTCTCGCGCTGCAGCAGCAGCAGCAGCTGCTGCTGCAGCAGCAGCAGCAGTAGCAGCAGCAGCTGCTGCTGCAGCAGCAGCAGCAGCAGTAGCAGCAGCAGCTGCTGCTGCAGCAGCAGCAGCAGCAGCAGCAGTTAGTTTGCAGGTTTCGTCCCGCCGGTTTCCGGGTTTCTTGCCTCCCCGCTGCTGCCCAGAGCTCCCGCTGCTGCTGCTGCTGCTGCTGCTGCTGCTGCTGCAGATATGCATTGGGGAGAAGCTGGAGGAGCGGGAAGCCAACAAAACGATGGAAGTCTGCAGGCAGCAGCTCGAAGTTGTGCTGCCGAAGATCTCCGATTGGCGCAGAGTCGTAATTGCCTACGAGCCCGTCTGGGCCATCGGCACGGGCCGCGTGGCCACCCCCGAGCAGGCCCAGGAAGTCCACGCCGTAAGGGTTTAGGGTTTAGGGTTTAGGGTTTAGGGTTTAGGGTTTAGGGTTTAGGGTTCGGTTTCTGAAGCGGCTCCCGTTCAAACTCCCCTTTCTCGCGTTGGCGAAGTGTTTCGGAAACTTAAAAAGAAGTTGCTTTTAATTTATTTTGGAAACTTTAAAAAAAGTTGTTTTTAATTTATTTTCGAAACTTTAAAACATTGCTCTTAATTTGTTTCGGAAACTTTTAAAAGTTGCTTTTAATTTGCTTCGGAAACCCAAAAAGTTGCTTTTAATTTGTCTCGGAAACTTTTAAAAAGTTGCTTTTTATTCCCCCCTGCCCCGCTGCTGCTGCTGCTGCTGCTGCTGCTGCTGCTGCTGCTGCTGCTGCTGCTGCTGCAGGAGCTGCGGAAGTTCGTGGGGGAGAAGGCGGGGGCCTCCGTGGCTGCGGACCTTCGAATAGTTTATGGCGGCTCCGTTTCGGAGCAGAACTGCGCGGCGCTGCTGCGGTGTACAGACGTCGACGGCTTTCTGGTGGGCGGCGCCTCTTTGAAGAAGGCCTTCGTGGACATTGTGGCGGCCCCGCGGGGGGTCAGCAAACCCTAGGGTTTAGGGTTTAGGGTTTAGGGTTTAGGGTTTAGGGTTTGGGGTTGGGGTTGGGTTGGGGTTGCGGGCTTCCAGAGCCTGGGAGCGGCAGCCCTGGCGCTTCGATGGCCTGGCCGGAGCCCGGGCGGCGGCCAGCAGCAGCAGCAGCAAACGCTGCTGCTGCTGCTGCTGCGCTGCGGGCGCACTTGCGTGCGGGCCCCCACTCGGGGGCCTATTTTATTCGTGCTGCAGCGCGATTTCTGCTGCTGCTGCAGCTGCTGCAGCTGCTGCTGCAGCTCTTGTTTGAATCCCCAGCAGCTGCAGCTTTCTGCGCTGCTTTCCAAACGCACTGAACGTTCATTTTAACCTTTCAGCTCGAGGCTGCGCCGCCTGCTGCAGCAACACCTGCTGCTGCTGCTGCTGCTGCTGCTGCTGCTGCTGCTGCTGCTGCTGCTGCGGAAGCAGCGAAGGGCAAGTGGCCGTGGCCACGCTGTCTGTACACCCGGCTAGCTTAGGAAAAATGATTAACAGTGAAGTGCGGAGTTGTAAATAATTAGTTCCATTATAAACAAATTGAAGAGTGAAAGTGAACTAATTGGCTTCAAGGAAACGGCACTCGCGACACTCCGTTTTCCAACAGCAAGAAGATCGGCAGCAGCAGCTCTGCTTCCGCGGTCACAGCGAAGGCTGTGGGCCGGGGCGTGGCTGCTGCTGCTAGCTGGCCTGCTGCTGCTGCCTGCAGAGGCCTCAAGAGGCGCCGGCTTGCTTTGCAGTTTGCGGGGGAAGCAGAAAAGCCTCTTTGACGAGAGAAACGGGTTGTTGTGGCAGGTGGAAGGAAATGCGCAGCTCCGAGAGCACCTTCACGAGGTGTACGTACACCTCAGAACGCACCTTCAGCACCTTCGTCCAGTTGCCCCAGCCCTCCACGCAAGTCAGCCACATGCCCAGCTGCATGCACGCACTCTTCGCAGCTTCGGGTGTACGTACACCGCAGCTCCCGCTGCAGCGGCCCGCGCTCCAGGTGTACGTACACCCCAGCTACGCGCTGCAGCGGGAGCCAGCTAGCCACGGCGCTGCAGCAGCGCCGTGGCTAGCTGGCGCGTTAGGAAGTGAAAAGGGCTTTTCGCCAGCTCCAAACCCTAAACCCTAAACCCTAAACCCTTGGGGCGCTTGCCTTGATGCAGTGGCCGGCGGAAACCTCGTAAACGAGCAGCCGGAAGCTGTCTTTGACGAAGTCCATGGCTCGAGCCTCCACGTAAGCTTTCATTTCCTTTTCAAGTCCCTTCAGCAGCGCCGGCGGGGTGTATATACTCACGGAAACCAGCAACTCGAAAGTCGAAGTTTTCGCCCGAGACTCATTCGTAATAACCCGCGAAAACAAATTCGCGTTGCTGTATATCAGCTTCAGCAGCAGCAGCAGCAGCAGCAGCAGCAGCAGCAGCAGCAGCAGCAGCAGCAGCAGCAGCAGCAATACGCAAACAAACTCGACAAAGAATTGCCAGAAAATGCAACTGACAGCAACGCACACCCAACAATCAGCAGCAGCAGCACAAGTCGCTGAGAAGGAAAGAAAGGCTTCAAGAAAAAAGAAAGAAACAATTTGAAACGAAAAAATCGAAAAGTTGAAACTGCAGAAAAAAAGAAGTTAAGGACTTCAAAAAGAAAGAAAGAATTGAAAAAAGAGGTTGAAAAGTTGAAAGTGCAGAAAAAAAGAAGTGAAGGACTTCAAGAATTGAAAAAGTTGAAAAGTCGAAAGTGCAGAAGAAAAGAAGTGAAGGACTTCAAGAAAAAAGAAAGAATTGAAAAAGTTGAAAAGTCGAAAGTGCAGAAGAAAAGAAGTGAAGGACTTGAAGAAAAAAGAAAGAATTCAAAAAGTTGAAAAGTGGAAAGTGGAGAAGAAAAGAAGTGAAGGACTTCAAGAATTGAAAAAGTTGAAAAGTGGAAAGTGGAGATAAAAAGAAGTGAAGGACTTGAAGAATTGAAAAAAAGTTGAAAAGTGGAAAGTGGAGAAAAAAAGAAGTGACGACTGACCGGCTTGCCGTGCATGGTTTCGAACTCTGTGGTGTACGTACGGATGCGGCGTACGTACAGGATCTCTCCGCCGTCGACGCGCACGCGGTCGCCGATGTTGTACGGATTAGTGAAGGCCACAAATATCACTGCAGTGATGAAGTGCTGGTAAATGTAGCCTCCCCCCACACGCACGCAGCCCCAGCCACAGCTAGCCACCAGCTAGCCACCAGCTAGCCACCGGCTAGCCACCGGCTAGCAGCTAGCTAGCTAGCTGGGAGCTAGGGGTGGAGAGTAGCTAGGAGTTCGCAGCTAGCTTGTTAGACAGCGAGCTAGGTACGCAGCCAGCTAGGAGGCAGCTAGTCCGGGTGCCTACGACGCAGCTAGCTAGCAGCGAGCTAGCTAGCGAGCTAGCTGGCTAGCTAGCTAGCTAGCTAGCTAGCTAAGGGCTAGGAGCTAGCTAGTCAGTTAGCTAGGGGGAGCAGTAGCTAGTAAATAGCTCGTGGTGGACTTTTCCTGACGAGCCAGCTAGCTAGCTGAACTGCTGGCCAGGAAGCTTGCCAGCTAGCTAACTAGCCAGCTGGCTGGCTAGTCAGCTAGCTAGCTAACTAGCTAGCTAACGAAGAAGGGAACTACTCAACTACCCCGCACGCCAGTGCGAAGTCCCCAAACCCTAAACCTTCGGGCTTCCCCCGAACGCTAAACCCTCGGTTTTCCCCCTAAACCCTAAACCCTAAACCCTAAACCCTAAACCCTAAACCCTAAACCCCCGCAGTGGAGCGCACTTAGGGAAACGGTGATTGCGGAGAGAAAGGCCGCGCCGGACATGACCACGGTGTTCATTTCGACGCCCAAGACCAGCAGCAAAACAATCACTGCCACAAACCACAGCAGCACTGACATCATCCGCAGCACCGTCGAAGCAATGCTCGCCTGGCTCTGACACAAACGCATGCAAAACGCATGCAAAACGCATGCAAAAGGCGTGCAAAACGCATGCAAAACGCATGCAAAACGCATGCAAAAAGCGTGCAAAACGCATGCAAAACGCATGCAAAATGCATGCAAAACGCATGCAACACGCAGCAGAAGCGGCAAATTTTGGGGTTCGCAGCCAGATTCCCCACGGGAACTTCCAATTCCAAGCAGCAGCAACGGCAGCAGCAGCAGCAGCAGCAGCAAGGGCAGCAGCTGCAGCGGCAGCCTGCCTTGAGAGCCCTCACAAGTTTCTCACGGCAGCGTCAGCAGCAAAAGCAGCAGCAGCAGCAGCAGCACCAGCACCAGCAGTATCAGCAGCAGCAACATCATTGGCAGCAGCACCAGCGACAGCACGAGCAGCAGCAGCAGCAGAAGCAGCAGCAGGAGAAGCAGCAGCAGCAGCAGCAGCAGAAGCAGCAGCAGCAGCAGCAGCAGCATGAACGTCAGCAGCAAAAGCTTGCCTTGAGAGCCCTAATAAGTCTCTTCCGGAGGCTGTAAATGTGCAGCACCGCCCTTTGAAACATCACGCGGTTTATTTTCCCGTGGCCTACAGACACATCACGCAGCAGCAGCAGCAGCAGCAGCAGCAGTTGCAGCAATTGCAGCAGCAAAGGCAGCAGCAGCAGCAGCAGTTGCAGCAATTGCAGCAGCAAAGGCAGCAGCAGCAGCAGCAGCAATCGCAGCAGCAAAGGTAGCAGCAGCACAACGGGAACGGCGGGAGTGGTGACAGCATCAGCATCAGCAGCAGCAGCGGCAGCAGCAGCAGCGGCAGCAGCAGCAAAGGCACTTCAAGAGGGGTTTCAAGGAAGTGCATGCAGCTTTTAACTTCTTTTAAATGCAACTTTAAATTACTTTTCATTTTCTTTTTTGGCACTTTTGCATGCATTGCAAATATAACTCTTTTCCATTTTTTCCCATTTACAAGAACAGAATGAATATGCATTTATGCATTTACGAAAATGCATTGAAATGCACTTTTGTTTGAATAACTTTCCAATAAATATTTATTTGCACTTTTAGGAGAAGTGGATATTCAAATAAAACTCAAAACGGCATTTCAGCAAAGAGAAGAAACATTGGCAAAAATAAAAGAACACAAATAATGCATGCAAAAAGCCCCAGCTGCTGCTTCTCCATTCGCCCTGCTGCTTCCTGCAGCAGCAGCAGCAGCAGCAGCGGCAGCAGCGGCAGCAGCGGCAGGAACGGCCACAGCCTTGGCGGTAACCGCAGCAGCGGCAGCAGCAGAAGCAGCAGCAGCAGCAGCAGCAACAGCAGCGGCAGTGACGGTAACAACACCAGCAACTGCAGCAGTGGCAGCAGCAGCAGCAGTAACCGCAGCAGCAGCAGCAGCAGCGGTAGTAGCAGCAACAGTGTCAGCAGCGGCGGCAGGGGCAGGGGCAGCAGCAACAGCAGCAGCAGCAGCAGCAGCAGCGACTAGAGTTGTTGCTGCTGCTCTGTTCTAGGTCTTTCCGTGGAGTCTGCAGCAGGCATTTTTTACCTTTAAAATAAAACCATTTGCTGCATTAAATGCAGTACTCCGAATTATGATCAAGGGTTTAGGGTTTAGGGTTTGGGATATAGGGCTTGGGGCCTAGGGTTCAGGATTTAAGGTTCAGGTTTTAGGATCTAGGGTTTAAGATTCATAGTTCAGAGTCTAGGGTTTAGGGTTTAGGGTTTAGGGTTTGGCAGCAATCACCGGCCAGATCTGCATGCTTCATGAACTCATAGTTAAGAGTCTAGGGTTTAGGGTTTAGGGTTTAGGGTTTAGGGTTTGGCAGCAGTCACCGGCTAGATCTGCATGCTTCATGAACTCTTCGGCTTCTTCGGGCTTAAGATAGAGTTCTAAGATTTCCCTGCTAAGAAACTGCTGCTCATCTGCTGCTGCTGCTGCTGCTGCTGCTGCTGTGGAGTCCAGTTGCCCTACGGTGCTGCAGCCGCCGTCCTTCTCCCTGTCTGCTGCTGCTGCTGCTGCTGCTGCTGCTGCTGCTGCTGCAGTCCTTTGAATTTGCTTCTCTTTATTGTTTTGGCTGACACATGGCGGCCTCACTGCTGCCCACAAACTCATTTCCGGGGTGTCTGTACACCCGGACCTCGAAGCAGTTTCCAGCGAGCTGCTGCCAATCATGGGAAAAGGGGGATGCTGCAGCGCGAGTTGCTGCTGCTGCTGCTGCTGCTGCTGCTGCTTCTGGCGCAGCGTGGCGGGGAGGGCCGCAGCAAGCGCAGCAGCAGCAGCAGTTCCGTGCTGCGGGCTGGCGTTTGGTTTCGCCTGAAGTTCTTCTTTTTCCTTTTTTTGTTTGTCTTCTTTGCTGCTGCTGCTCTCATCTAAATGCTGTTCGGAGGGCAGCAGCAATTTGCTGCTTCTCTTCTCTCGACCTTGCTGCAGCTGCTGCTGCAGACACCGCCCTCCTGCTGCTGCTGCCAGCAGCGGCCTCCGCGGCCTCTTGCCCCGCCTCCTCGCAGAGAGACGGCGCAGCAGCAACACCGCAGATTGCCTTTGCTGCTGCTGCTGCTGCTGCTGCTGCTGCTGCTGCTGTTGCTGCTGCTGCTGCTGCTGGGTAGCTGCGCTGGCGTCGAGAGTCTCGCTGCTGCCCTCCCGTTGGGCGGGGCTTTCATTTGCTGCAAAGGCCAAAGAAAACGGGAGAGTCCCCTGCCTTAAAGAGGAGCCTTTAATCCCTTGCTGCTGTTGCTGCTGCTGCTGCTGCTGCTGCTGCTGCGCATTGTCTTGGCGAATAGGGGCAGGGGACTCTTCGGGTGGCCTTGGGGTGTCTGCTGCTGCTGCTGCTGCTGCTTCAGTGGGGGTTAAGAGGTCACCGGCCTGTGAGGCAGGGAGAAGGGCCCCACTGGCCTCTATCTGCGCAGCAGCAGCAGCAGCAGCGAAAGCAACAGCAGCAGCAGCAGCAGCAGCAGCAGCAGAAATTTTAGCAATAAGGAAGGCAGCGAAAAAGGCAGTGGTGTCAGCAGCAGCAAGAAATAAAAGCAGCAGCACCACGAGCACCTGAGACAGCAGCAGAAACAGCAACTGCAGCAACGCGCACTCCACATAGCCCCCCTCAAGCCTACCGGAGACTGCAGCAGCAGCAGCGGTTGCTGCTGCTGCTGCTGCTGCTGCTCAGCAGCAGAATCGTTCTTGAGAACAAAAAGCGGCAGCGTGGGGCCCTCCTGCGCATCTGTTGCCTCTCCCAGCTGCTGCTGCCATCTCATAAGTCCCTCATTGTCTGGGGTGGGGCCGGAGCCTTGTCTGCCCTCTTGCTGCTGCTGCTGCTGCTGCTGCTGCTGCTGCTGCTGCTGCAGGTAGGGTGCTGAGCAGTTCGTCGCTGTGGGGTCCTGTGCTGCTGCAGGGGGCTGAAAGTCAAATATCCCTGGGGTGTCTGCGCCTGGCTGGGAGGAGACAGTTTTGTTGTCGATGTCGTCTGAGCTGCTGCTGCTGCTGGTTTGCTGCTGCTGCTGCTGCTGCTGCTGCTGCTGTCGGCTGCTGCTCCAGTTGCTGCGCTCGGCCGCGCTGAGGCGCCTGGCCTCTTGTGGGCCCCCGCCCTGCTGCTGCTGCTTCTGCTGCTCCCCGTTTTCCCCCCTGGCGGCTTTGCTGCTGCTGCTGCTGCTGCTGCTGCTGCCCTTGGCGCTGCGGGCCTCCCGCAGCATCTCCGCAAAAAGCGCTGCAGCAGCTTGTCTTGCCACTTCCTTGTTTGTCAGCTCCAGTCTTCTTCCTTTCAAAAATATAACTGGAGGAAAGTCCAGGCAGTAGTGAATGTTCAGCCAGTTCCTTATTTGAGAAGTTTTGCTGCGCTCGATGCTCCGCGGCCGCAGCGGCTCCGGCAGCACTGCAGCAGCAGCAGCAGCAGCAGCAGCAGCAGCAGCACGGGTGCAGCAGCGACAGCAGAAGCACCAGAAGCGTCACCAAAGTCGACATAAAAGCGACGGAAACAGCAGCAGAAACAACGGCAGAAAATGAGGCAGGAGCAGCAGCACAAGCAGCAGCACAAGCAGCAGCACAAGCAGCAGCACAAGCAGCAGCACAAGCAGCAGCACAAGCAGCAGGAAAACAAGTAAAAGGCAAATAAGGCAGTAGCCGCCTGCTGCAGCTTCCGTGCTGCAGCAGCAGCTGCTGCTGCAGCGCTACATCGAGTCCCAGCCCGAAACATCTTGCAGCAGCTGCTGCTGCTGCCGCTGCTTCTGCTGCTGCTGCTGCTGCTGCTGCAGCGCGCGTCAGCAGCAGGGGCTGCGGCGTACCAGTGCCCTGCAGCATTCTTTCCTGCAGCCTCTCTGCTGTGCTGGCGAGGCCGTTGAGCTTCAGCGGCAGCAAAAAGAGGCCCTCGACGTTGGCGGAGTCCATCCAGCCCGCGGACTGGCCGCCGCGGTCGCTGCTGCTGCTGCTGCTGCTGCTGAAGCCGCCGCGCTGCAGCAGCCGCCGCTGCTGCGGCACTGCAGCAAACAGCTTCAGAGCGCTGCACAGCGCCTTCGCAGGCAGCAGCAAGCTGCAGCAAGCAGCGCAGACGCCCACGCAAACGCACGCTGAGCCTGCAACGAGTCTTCCAGTGCTGCTGCTGCTGCGGCTGCTGCTGCAGCTGCTGCTGCTGTTGCTGCTGCTGCTGCTGCTGCGGCTGGCTGGAGGCCTGCTAGGTACCTAACACGGCCTGTCTCAGCGCTCCTCCCGCGATGCACAAACAGGAGCTAGCTATCTGGCTGATGGCCTAGCTAGCTGCCTAGCGGCCAGCTAGCTAGCTGTAGAGCTAGCCAGCTAGCTGCCTAGCTAGCTGTCTAACTAGCTAGAAAGCTGTAAACTCCCAGCAGCAGAAGCAACAGCAGCATCGGCAGCAGCAGCAGCAGATAGCCAGAAAGTTCTCTCGTGCCATCTGTTCTCTAATGCCACTTTGCTGCTGTCCTGTTTTCGAAACAAGCAGCAGCAGCAGCAGCTTCTACATACCTTTGCTTGAGTCGGTGCCACCAGCGGGAAGCAGCAGGTTTCTGCTGCTGCTGCTGCAGTTGCTGCTGCTGCTGCTGCTGGGATTTGGTAGCCTTCTGGTGGTCTGAAGACTGTAGAAGGCTGGCGCGGTGTTTGTAAAGGTGCGGCGTTGCAGCACCGCCGCCCTGAGCAGCACGTAGCTGCTGCTGCTGCTGCTGCTGCTGCTGCTGCTGCTGCTGCTGCTGCTGCTGCTGGTTTAAAGTGCAGCCTTCCCATTCCAGCGCATCCTCAGCAAGGGTTTGATCTTCTGTGGAGGGTTCAATTGCTTCTTTGTTTGCTTCTTTGTCTTGTTCGCGGCAGCTGAAGCACAAAGGCACTGCAGCAGCAAAAACAGGGAATGATGCCGCAGCTGCCCCTCGCTGCTGCTGCTGCTGCTGCTGCTGCTGCTGCTGCTGCTTTCACAAAGTTCGGGTTGTATTCTATCCACGTATTGCTGCCGCGGCCTCGGCCTCTGCCGCCTCTGCCGCTGCTACCGCCGCTGCTGCTACCGCTGCTGCTGCTACCGCTGCTGCTGCTGCTGCTGCTGCTGCGCTGCTGCTGCTGCTGCGAGGCGTACGCCGCAGCGAGCCACTTGGCGTTGAGCTTGCGGACTGCGGAGGAGCGCTGGAGGTAGTTGACGACTTGGGCGTTCATGCTCATGAGGAAGCCGAGTTCGAAGCAAAAGACCATAATGGCCAGCAGCAGCCGCCGCAGCGCCAAGACCATCAGCACAATGTTGGTGACTTGAATCATCCGCAGCAGCGCGCGGGAGAACAGCAGCGAAGGGCCGAGCAGCAGGAAGTGCATCAAAGGCTCCGGGGGCTCCTCGCTGGTCTTCGACAGAATCAGGTAGTGGCCTGCAGCAGCAGCAGCAGCGCAGCAGCAGCAGCAGCAGCAGCAGCAGCAGCAGCGGCAGCGGGTCGGCGGGAGGGCGCAAGGTGCTTGCGCTGGAAACGGCTATGCAGCGGGCTGCTCCGCGTCTCGCTGCTGCCTGCTGCGCTCGCGCTGCGGCTGCTGCTAGACCTGCTGCTGCTGCTGCTGCTGCTGCTGCTGCTGCTGCTGCTGCTGTGAGTCACTTTCTTTCGCGTTTCCGAGCCACCACACGTAGACGAAAATGCTCCAGGGAACATAAAAGATCTCGGGGTCTATTGTGGCAGCAAAGGCAGTGGCTGCAGGCATGCCGTGGCGCACCGCCTGCAGCAGCCCGAGGATGACCACCACCCTGACAACCAAGCCGCAAACCCTAAACCCTAAACCCTAAACCCTAAACCCTAAACCCTAAACCCTAGGCCTGGGCTTTGAGCGCTGAACCCTTTATTCACACGCGAGAGGGATAGGGGCAAATGTTCGATTGCTTGCAGCCTTCCGTGCTGGAAGATCGCGTTTAGGGTTTATGGCCCAGAAGTGAGGGTTTACGGTTTAGGGTTTAGGGTTTAGGGTTTAGGGTTTGGGGTTCGAGCTGAGGTTCCGGGCGCAGGGTTTGGGGTTTCCCACCTGGCCAGCATGAAGCAAAGGAAGAAGCAAATGTTCAACAACACCACATGGAAAAAAGCAGTGGATCCGTTTAGCAGCAGCGAGTGGCTGGTGACATCCCCTATCTGCAAACCTCAGACGAGAACAAGGAGCTAGGGTTTAGGGTTTAGGGTTTAGGGTTTAGGGTTTGCAGTTTAGTGTTGAGTTTCGTTGCTGTGCAGCCCGCAGCAGTCTGAAGCGGAGCAGCGCCTGCCGAAGTCCAGCTCCCAACGCCTCGTTGCCCGTCGCGCGTTTCCACGTCTCGTTTCTCAGGGTTTAGGGTTTAGGGTTTAGGGTTTAGGGTTTAGGGTTTGTGCGGACGACTTCGAGCGGAGGCTTCGCGTCCTTGGAAGCGGGCGTCCAGTGCGCGGGCGCGCGCGCCAAGAAGAAGTCGGCCTTGGCTGCGGAAATGCTTTCCAAACCCATCAGCAGCAGCAAAAAGCAAACAAAGAATTGCAAAAAAAACCAAACAAAAGGCGGAGTGTTTGGAAAAAAAGCTCGCAGCCAAGTCCACACCACCCCCGGCACGCAACGGCCCTCCTCCTCCTCCACTTCCGAGTCCGCCTCTTCCTTCTCCTCCTCCTCCCCCTCTTCCCGCGCGCAGCTCACTCGCGGGGGGCCCCCCGCGGGGGCCCCCAGGGGGGCCCCCAGGGGGGCCCCCAGGGGGGGCCCCAGCGGGGGCCCCAGGGGGGGCCCCAGGGGGGGCCCCAGGGGGGCCCCCAGCGGGGCCCCGTGCAGCGCCCCGGGAGGGGGCCCAGGAGGGGCCCCGTGGGAAACCCCTAGGGGGGCCCCTGCGGGGGCGCCGACGGCAACTCCAGCGGGCGGCCCGTGGGGGGCCCCCTGGGGGGCCCCGTGGGGGGCCCCGTGAGGGGCCCCCAGGCGGGGCCCAGCGGGGGCCACGTGGGGGCCCCCAAGGGCCGCGCCAGGGGGGGCCCCACAGGGACCCGCGGCGCAGGGGGCCCCTGGCGGGGGCCCACAGGGGGGCCCACAGGGGCCCCAGCCGATTGTGGGGCTTGGAGGAGGAGCGGGGGCTGGCAGGGCGCAGTCAGCGAGCGCCGGAGTGGGGTATCCCTGAAGTGCAGCAGCAGCAGCAGCAGCAGCAGCAGCAGCAGCAGCAGCAGCAGCAGCAGCAGCAGCAAATCAGCATGGCAGCAGCAGCGGCAAATGAGCAGCAAAGCAGCAAACGGAGATACCAGGAACTCGAATTTAAATGAATTGAGAGCTCTTTAGTGGCACATTCAAATGCAGCAAAAAGGAAAAGAAAGAAAGTCTAAATGACTTTAAGTGCAGCATTTGGGCAGCAGCAAAAAGAAATGAATCGGAAATTGAGAAAAGATAATTTAAAAAATAAAAAAGAAGACAATGGAGATGCAGAGGGCTCGAGACGCACTGCTTGCAAATGCCCCCACGGCTGATAGAGAACTGTGCTGCTGAGCTGCTGCTGCTGCTGCTGCTGCTGCTGCTGCTGAAACGGCTGCTGCAGCAGGGGCTCTGGAGCTGCTGCGCTGCTTGCAGGCAGGCGGGACAGCTCGAGGCAGCAGCTGTGAGGGTCGAAGGCCTCAGTTAGCTGCGGCTGAGGCCGAGGCTGCGGCTGGGGTGGGTAGGGGTGGGCGGCTGCAGTCCGCGGCAGCAGCACTTGCTGCTGCTGCTGCTGCTGCTGCTGCTGCTGCTGCTGCAGTTGCGCTGCTGCTGCTGCTGCTACGTACGGGCGCTGCTGCTGCGGGGAGGGAGGCACCCTCTGCGCCAGCCCGGAATGGGGCGGGGGCCCCCAAGGCTGTGTGCTGTCGGGGTCCTCCATTAAAAAAGCAAACTTTTGTCGAAACTCCTAAAAGGGGGAGTCAGCAGCAAATTAGAAGACTTTGCAGGCTTTAAGGGTGCTGATATTCAGCAAGTTAGGCAGCAACTCAGTGGCGGAGAAGTATTTCTCCCAGGTCACCCCAGGGCCTGTTTCAAGGATACGGAGTCAGCCACTTATCCCGAACTTTAGCTGCTGCAGCACCTGCTGCTGCTGCTGCTGCTGCTGCTGCTGTTGCCTTGATGCCGCCGCCACTCGAGATCTGGACTGAGGCGTCTTGTGGCCATTTCAAAAGAAATACCGGGTGGAATGCTTCCCACAGGGCTTCTGAATGTATATTAATAGTGACGGCTCTGCGAAAGAAGGCCTCTGGGCTTCTCCGAAGGCCTATTAATGTCTAGTTCAACTTTTTCTTGCAGCGGCGCCCGCGGACTGGCATGGTCGAAAGCTGAACAAGAGAGTTGCAAATGGAATAAGCCGAACCGCCTTTGACTCAGAAGAGACTAAGGCATATAAATAGTTGGGAAGACTGTGAGAAGGAAGTAATCGCCAGCTGCAAACATTTCAAGAAAACTAATTATCACCGGGAATGGAGCCGTCTCGCTCGCCTGCACAATTGCTGCTCATGATCTCTCTGAGCAAACATAAGTTGCCGAGTTCGGCACAGATTTATTTGCTAAAAGAATAATTTTCAAGAAATTTAAAAATAAATTTCGAAGAAGGCAGAAGAATTTGCTCCCCGGTGCGAGCGTTCCGACGTGAAATTTTCAGAAATGGTTCTGCGGTCACCTGGCCTTGGGCTGAAGACAGGGCTGAAGCAGCTGCAATCGACACCATTTCCTTTTATGTTTATTTGCTCCTTTTTGATCAGCTACTTCTTTATTTCACTAGAATGGCGGGGGATGGGGGCTCAGTCTAGAGAAAGCGCATCCCAGTGGTAGGCGAGAGCAGGAGTATCATGTGAATTCAGAAACTCATTTAGAGGATGAGACAACTCTGGAGGCAATTATTAAGTCTATGGTGCAGATTTCACAGCCCACACTTCGGCCTGGGGCTTTTGCTGTGACTCCCGCCGGCGGCTTGAAGGCCACGGAAATTCACAAAGAGGCTGAGTCAAATATTGCACGCTGCGGCTATAGAGAGTTGCAGCGTGGCGCCACAGCAAATACCGCCTTTTTAGCACAGATAGCACTAATTTCAACATGCTACTGCTGCTGAGATAACGGCTAAGGTTGAAAATTCAGCTTTTCAGGGATCCGCAGGCTGTGAACAAGTAGACAAACAGAGATGAACGCGAAGCAACCTGTAACTCTTGTTATTTAAGGTTGCGAGTAAGTGTTTTGTGTGTGTTCGCAGTGTTTATAGCGTCTGAACAGAAGCTCCGCGTTCATTTATCCCTTGTTCAATAGATGAATTTCAAATTGTTGTGCAGCTGCACTGCGGCGGCGATGCACTGATAATGAAAAATAAACAGCATTCTTCCACTGCGGTCAGTTTCCGTGGTTCTCCTGCAGAGGAATCTCTGCGCAGCCGTGTTGCATGCAAATGCTGCAGCCTTGCCCCTCTTTGCTTACCAAGCTCGCCTCAACTTGGCAGCACACAGAAAGAAAGTTTAGTGATCCAACTGGATCATGAGGGCTTTAGGAGCTTCGGATGCCTACTCACTTAGGCGGAATGCTTGGCACCTCATGCGCACACCGTGGGCCTGATTCGAGGCTCCACGCCAGTTACTATTTACTGTTAGAAAAATGAGTGAGCGGCTTAAAGAGTTGATGCATTAGATGATCTGCTGCTATCAACACGGTATGCTTCCCATCGCACGCTTGCACACTGAGTAGTAACTGGACATTCAAGGCCTAAAGGAGCTTGAACAGTGCTGACAACCAAGTTATTGTGCATCAAATCTTGCATTGTCCACCGCTGCTACAGCTTTCATCCTGAAGATCAAACTCTACTCCCAAATATTGTGAAACTGCTGCCACCTCCAGAGGACGGTGAAAGCAAGAGCAGATGTAGTGCCTCCAGAAGTTATGTGAGCTCTTGCAGCAGCTCCAACGCTCGTTATTGTGTGCTGACCTAACGGCATGTTTCTGCTCCAGGAAAATTAGTGGAAACTCAAAGCGCCAGGTGGTAATTAAGCTTATTACACTATACAAGTGCCACGTGAGGTCTTGCTTTTCGATGAACTGCTGCTTCTGCAGAAGTTCGCGAACATGCAACGACATGCATACTTCGGTTGACCCGCTTGGAAAACCGCAGAGATCGAAGGGAATTGGCCACCGATATCCTACGGCGTGCATTCCCCCTGGAATAATTACTGTTTTCAGCCGCAATTAGCCACAGCAAGTGCATTGTGGTTGCCCTAACGGCCTTCAATTGAGAGGTAAAGAGACGCGCAGCCTTTGCATAACTTCTGTGCAAGAACTCCGCTACAGTGCGGCGTACGCTGAACAACTATTATTCTCAAGACATATTGTGCATGCAGACGTTTTGCCAGTTGTCGCCACTCTGCCTGCACGATGAAGGCTTAGTGTAGTCTAAAGCCCTGTGCTGCAGGGGCCGGCCGTCACAGCGGACAGGGTTGATGAAGGGTGATGTGTGGCGGGGCGCGAGCACGCAGGTGAAGTGGCAGTAATTCATTGATGCACCCGTCTCGAAAAGACAGAATACTCTAGAAATTGGCGGTGGAACGAAGAAAACGAAGCGGTGCGAAAAGGGGTCAGCGGCCACCGTGTACACACATTAGGGAACGACCTTGTGCAGTGCGTACCAGAAAGCAGCCGAAGCAGTTAGAATGCGCAAGCAATAGATACAAAAATTGGAATAGGCCATGAACTGCAGCGTAAATGCAAAAGAATGTCTCTGGTATTGTCTACGTTCACGGTACTGCGTTCGCTGCAAATGAACTGGATGAAGCGCACTACGTAGGCCGTCACGCTGCTAGGTGTAAATGGCAGGAACTGGTCGAATATTCGCCAGATTTGAAGCCTATTGACTGATCAGTCATAATTTATATAAGAGCAATATCATTCATTAGTAAGCTCAGCTTGGAGGTAGTTGCTCGCTGTTTCCGCCTTCATCATGGAGGCGCAGGGGAGGGCGCCGCACGGAGCGTTGCCATCCACCGCCACAGGACCCACGACGCGTGCAATAGGTTGCTTTCTCTTGGCATGCTTATCTGAGTATTATTCTGGCAAGTAGTTAGAAGATAATTCCAACGCGAATTCCATTTTTTGGTCAAGTCGCTCGTAGGCGGCGTCGGGACACTCTGTGACGGCGCCTGCTGCACTTCAGGGTTGAGGTGTACGTCCAGTTCAAGCGTTCGGCGCCTTCGCGCAGCTCACTTTTATATCATTTTGTTTTTGGTCCGTCGACTCTGCGGACGAAACTCACTCCGCTGCATTCCTCTTGAATACAAGCCGCCGCAGCCAAGCCTCAAGACTTCGCCGCCCAACAATGCAGATCTTTGTGAAGACTCTTACAGGGAAGACCATCACTCTCGATGTGGAGCCGTCAGACACCATCGAGAATGTGAAGGCAAAGATTCAGGACAAGGAGGGCATTCCTCCTGATCAGCAGCGTCTGATCTTCGCTGGCAAGCAGCTGGAGGACGGAAGGACGCTGTCTGATTACAACATTCAGAAAGAGTCTACCCTTCACTTGGTGCTGCGCCTGAGAGGTGGCATGCAGATCTTTGTGAAGACCCTCACGGGGAAGACCATCACTCTCGATGTGGAGCCGTCAGACACCATCGAGAATGTGAAGGCAAAGATTCAGGACAAGGAGGGCATTCCTCCTGATCAGCAGCGTCTGATCTTCGCCGGCAAGCAGCTGGAGGACGGAAGGACGCTGTCTGATTACAACATTCAGAAAGAGTCTACCCTTCACTTGG